ATACCCAGTAAATCGTTTCTTTTTACGTTACATGATTAAAGCCACGTAAAATTATTTTTACAGATAAAATTACTAAACCTTATATCTTCCAAAAAAAAAAAAGAAAATAAATACCACGAGTAATGCTTTATCCTGTGTCTTCAAATCTGTGCACTCAGTTTTCAAATCGTGTGGTGCAGATGATACATTGTTACTTTTTCCATCAAATATAGAAGTATTTTGTAAGTTGTGTTTAGTATTTGAAATTTTTGTAGACATTGGGAAAGATTTGGATAAAGATGTATATTTCTTTTTGAAAAGAGTTTTCTCGGAAGGACAATAGTACGAACTGGTGGAAATATCTTTCTTACTGTCTGAAAATATTGGACAGAAAGAAAAGTGGTTGATTTTTGAGAAAAAAGATGTGTGCGATTTGGATAAAGGCTTATTTCTTTCACCTAATGCGTTGCGCAAAAAAGTATCGCTATATTGTTCCTCATTATGTTTCAATATATTCGGATACGAACGCGTTTTCATGAATTTATACTTTTCAAGTGTCGTCATTTTATGAATAAATGGACAGGAATTAGTTTTTCTCCATTTTATATTTCGTTTTATTTTACTTTTTGATGTATTATTCTGTACGTAATGAATATTTTTACGATATTTTAAAGATGTACTATTATTCATTGGTGATAAACAAGGATTACATTCGTTATTTTTTTCGTAAGACGACGACGATTTGAAATCATCTGGTTTAGCTGGAAAATTCGACGAGTTTTCACAAGAAGATATTCCGTTATCGAACAAAGAACTTTCAGAAATATAGAATTTAACATTTTTATTGCTTATTATTGACGGTGGTGTTGGAATTGAATATTTATTTGACATAAAAATTGAAGATGAATTAGATGATCTGGTTATATCTATACCAGAATCACTTTGCTCTGTGAAAGAATGATATAAGTTTCCAGATTTAATAATTGAATTTTGCAAATTGAGACAATTATCATTCATACTAATAGCAGAATCTTGACTGATATCATATATAGAAATGAGATCGTTCCACTGATTATTATATTCTACATCACGTATATATGAGATTAATGAATTATTTTTCGATGAACTCGATATACTATAATCAGTTTTTGTTGTATTAAAAATTGAATTTGAATAAGGATAAAAAGAAGAGGAAGTTGATTTAATATACGTTAAGGAAGGTGGATTATTGGATGTATTTTTAAAATATAAGTCCACATTTGCTCTCTTGTAGAAAAGGCCGGATATATCTACCACCTAAAGCATTTATGTAATACATAAATGTCTATGTGATGTAGTGTCATATAAAAAAATTTGTATATAAAAAATTATTTATAAATAATGTGAAAATTATATTAATACTTACGACGTGAGTGCAATTCGGATCATCGATCTCAGTAGGTTCGCCGCCCTGTTGCTCCAGAACTTCACACATATGCTTCTTCTCTTCTTCAGGAAAACCAGAAAAACATACTTTTGCCCCATAAAATGGCTTTAGTTTATAAGTTGCTATCTGCAATTAGAATTAAGTGTGTTTTTAAAACTAAGGAAATTCTTATCATAATGTTACCATTAAAATTCGAATGAGAACACTATATCGCTTTATCATACTAAGCGCTCAGAGATAGCAATAGAGAGATATGAGTGCAATGCAGATTCTGCACTACGATTGTTTGTTCACATACATACACAAATGTATTTTCTTTATCTTTTTATTACTACCTTCAGTGGCACTTAACAAACTAATCGCGCGTCGTGCCTTGAAGACACTAGAATTATATATTGGAATTAAATATCAAAATTTATTCAAATGTTACATACAATAAAATAATTGTAATTATTATAAATTAATGTTATAATTTATTTTATTAAACATTTTTATAAAATATTAAAATTTTATCTTGAAATTATTATCTTTAACTAACACCTACCAATTCCTCATTGTTCGCATATGTGGAGATATCGTCTTTGGTATTCCACAATGCTATCACCCATTCTATCGACATGATAGGCAATCCAAATGTGTCAGCGTATCTGTATTTTTCTCCACTGCAATGATTTGCAATAAGATGCGTCACTTTAATACCCATCTCTTTTCGGATGCTACCTCCCATATTAAGAATCATATTAGCTAACTTGCGCTGTTAAAAAATACATTACCTTATAAAAATATGAAATATATATAAAATGTCATAAAAATTGTAAATAATCGGAATTGTAAAATAAACTGACCAGTTCATCCTCTCTAGCTCGAAATCCACTAAATACTACTATTGTGCCTACCATAGCTTGTGTATACATTGGTCTTTTAATACTGGGCAAAGGTTCTTTTTTCTCTGCCAATTGTAGCAGAGCCGTAGGTCCCAGTACTCTACAAAACATAAGGCAAACGAATAATCATTAGAATTTATCGTTCAATATTAAAATTTAAAAAAATTATATAATTATTAAACGTTTTATACGTTATAAACTATAATACATTATTATGTACAAACCTATGGGCACTCTTGCATAAAGCATCATATTCGGACCCTTCAAATTGTTTGAGTATAAAATAGGTATTGTAGGTAGTATCTTCAACATATTCTGTGCCAGTTTCAGATTTAAGTACTGGCACTTTGAATTGCTGAACAGCAACATTAAGTGCAGGATCATTGCAGGTTGTACCAACTAAGCATATCCTTTTCTTGCGTGGTATTATTAAGGCTGATAACAAATAATTACCTTGTCATCAACTTTTATCATTGGCACTACTGATTTACATTTAATTATTTAAATTATAACAATATTAATTTTGTTAAATCAACATTTTTAAGAGTGGAAGATAACTTTTAAATATTTCATTTTATAACTTGATTACATAATGCAAAAATATAAAAATCATAACAATAATATTATTTTCAGTATTAATAATTTCACTATTTACTATTAAGAATTTTTTAATATTAATAAAAAATTAATATAATATTGATATATTATATTATTTAAACACTATTGTATATAATATTATAACATAATTACAAAATAATATTATTGTTAGATGAAGGATACACGACATAATTAAGGGTGGTAATTAGTTTAGTGTTTCTCAGTGAGTAGAAATTTTTTATTTATACATGTGTGCGTGCACATTACATATGCGCGCATGAATAAATATGAAAATATGAATTTTCTTTCATCAATAAATCACTACCGTCTTATGACTTCGACAAGTTAGAAAGATTTGTTAGAAAACACTATTTTTAGTCGTGTCAGCGTGCCTGTAAAGTTCAAACATTGTTATACAAAGTACACAAGCTCTAATCTCGTATCATAGGCAACGGGAAGTCGCGTATACATGTATACATCTGTACGCACCATTCACGTGCTCGGCGTAAGATAATTAACTCGCGAAAAGCACGAAGGATAGAGAGAGAAGGAAAAAGATAGGAAGCGAGAGCGAGAAGGAGAAAATAACAGAATGAGAAAGGGAGATAACAGACGGAGACAGAAACGAGCGAATCACGAATTACTGTGAGAAACAGCATTGTAATTTTCAAGGAGTTTCATAAAGGACATTCGTCACGGAGAGAGACATCATGTCTCCAATATAATTTTGGACAATTCAAGGCCGAGCTTGTAAGACTAACAGACGTGAGCTACAAAAAATTTCTCATTTTCCTTCTACTTTTTTTTCTTTAAAAGCGGTAATCTAGAAAGATCCGAAAAAATAATACTATGACATTGATTGACCATGCCGAGTCATAAATTTCGTAAAGTTTGGAAGTAAAGAAAACGAATCGGTTCGTTAAAATTGTATGTATACAGGGATCTCTTCGTGGATTTCCGTTTTCACGTTTACATGACCGGGGACGTTTCCCGTGAAAAATGCGAGATCATTGTCAATGCGAATTCGCGAGATCGCAGCCCAGAGTTCGAAAAATTCAAAATCGCCCAGGGATTAAGGATTTAAGGATTTTTGGCAGAGGCGGCGAGTCGAGTGTCGATCCGTCGACCGCGCAACGACGTCACCGTCCTCTCCCGTCTGCTTGACGGCGCCGTGGATGATTTAACGTTGACAGATTCGCGCTTACTTTTGGTCGCCTCCGCACTATTTATATCGCCGATACTGCTGTGGACGCTACGCTCTTCCATCTTGGCCCTGTACGTTACAACATCGGCCCTCTCTTCTCTCCCCTTTGTACGCGCAAATCTTGCTGAGCGTGTCCTCCCGTCTTCGACGTGCAACGACACTCGTCCGTCCCGTCGCCGATCATTTAAAATGCTATCGCGCAGGCGACAGCCGCGAGGTCCTCCGCACCACTCTCGTGTTCAACATGAAACGTCACTCGCGCTCGCCCGTTATCACGAAACAATTATCTTCCCAAAATCGCAACAAATGTAAAAACCAACGGCGTCGACAGCGATCATCAACAGGACGACCAACGGCACAGAACACTGAACACCAGCCACAATTTGTTGGCCCTCCTCTTTCCCTCCGTGTATATCCCGTGTGTTATCCACCCCACCACGGCCACTGATTTTTTTCGTTGAAATCGGCAAAACTCACGTTGTCTCTCTCGCGCGCTACTCCTCTCGCGCATGCGCGCCGTCTTCCGTTAGTCTCCTTTTTATCGCAGCCAATCGCAGCATTGGTTACTAACGACAAGTGCGAAGTGCGAATAGAGAGTTAAGACGCCTTTACATGGCAGCGTCAGAGCATATTGCACAGTAATATGTTTAATTTAATTTTGTTGAAATTGAATTTAATGTATGAGATACACTAATAGTGGAATCTCTTGTAGTTTACACTATATAAATTTTTATTATTACATGTTAGGATAATATATATCAGAACATAACCTCTCTTAAGTGAGGAGCACAGACTCTTGCATAACTCATAACACGTAATATATAAGAAAATGTATCAATCGAAGTCCTTCGTTTCCTTCCTTTCCATGAAATAAAGAATTCTGATTGATTCAATTTCTTATGCCTTATGTGTTATATGCAAGAGTCTCTGCTCTTTGGTTTATGAGCCTTCTACAATAAGCCATTAGTCATAATCAGAAGTCAGAAATTAAAAATTGACCAATCACAATCGTTAATTTTTCACTTTTGCTTTCTGATTTATAACTAATGGCTTATTAAGCCGATTCTACATTAGTTGCAAGTTGATCACAAGTTTGTTTCGACCAGCCAATCTGAAGTTTGCATTTTGAAATGCATTCTGAAACGCTTCAGAGCTGTCACAACAAATTTGCAATCGGCTTGTAACTAATGTAGAACCGGCTTTAGGGTATATCCATACAAGTTACATAGTCGCATAAACGTACATGCATAAACAAAATTATCCAATCGTATTTTTCCTATAAAGACATATATAAAACGTGATTATTTGTTTTATATAATAAAGCTAAAGGATAATTTGCTTTATGCATATGTTTATGCGGTTTGTGTGATGTAACCTTAAGTCGATATTCAAGGCCAGTTTCATCAACTGCGGTCAGAGAATTGTAGGATTAGCATCATAAGAATATTGGCTTGCCAAAAATTAAAAATTTTTGAAGCTCGAAATTTGTATTTTAACATGCTCTTGATTGTCTTTAAATTTAATTCTACAAAATTGAAGAGAGAAAAAATTTTTTTCGCCGAATTTCAACATTTGTAAGAAATTTAGCTTCAAAGCATAATTCGATCAAGAAAAAGTATAAATTCTGAAAAAGTATTTAAATTTAAAGAAAATAAATAATAAAAAAAAATATAAAAAAGAAAAGAAATAATAAA